CCCCCCTGCGCGTTCAAGGGGCAGTCGTTTTTTGTGCAGCCAAACGATAGGCGACCGAGGCGTTTTTACCACCTTACTCGAGGGTAACTTTTACGTTCCTTGTCGTCTTTCGAATGTATAGAAGGGCCGCCGTCTGACTTTTGAGTAGGAGGAAATCTGAGGTTGAAGCTCGCTATAAATAATCGGATTGTTCTTCGACGATGTCTCCGTGAATATGTCCTGACACGACGTCTTTTAATCTTTATAGAACACTATTCAAGAAATAAAAGACATTACCGTTAATTTTTTTGTTTTACAGTATGTAAGACCCTGCAGTGCGGGTGCAGCGAGCTGTTTGGCTGATGCAGAGCGGAGTGCACGTGCTGGGGTGTACGGTTTAACCATGTCCTGGATGTAGGAAGGGCCAGATCCATTCGCAGCATGGTACGCAAGTACCAGTCTCTTGAAGTGGATTCTAGCAGTTACTGGAAGCCAGTGAAGGGAGCGGAGGAGCGGTGTGCAGAAGTAAAATGTTGGAAGGTTGAAGACCAGGCGAGCCGCTGCATTCTGGATGAGCTGCAGAGGTCGGATGGCACATGCAGGTAGACCAGCCAGGAGGGAGTTGCAGTAGTCTAGGCGTGAGATGACGAGAGCCTGGACCAGAACCTGCACTGTTTTCTGGGTCAGCTGGGGACGTATCCTCCTGATGTTGTAAAGAGTGTATCTACAGCAGCAGGTTGTAGCAGCGATGTTTGCAGTGATGGACAGTTTGTTATCTAGGGTCACACCCAGATTCCTTGCAGTCTGAGTCGGGGAAACAACAGAGGTGCCGATGTTGATTGTTAGGTCAAGAGTGGGACAATCTTTTCCCGGAAGGAAAAGCAGGTCAGTCTTGTCAAGGTTGAGCTTGAGGTGGTGAGCAGACATCGACTGAGAGATGTCTGCTAGGCAAGCAGAGATGCGTGCGACGACCTGGGTCTCTGAGCGGGGAAAGGACAGAATTAATTGGGTGTCGTCAGCGTAGCAGTGGTATGAAAAACCTTGCGGGTCCTACTAGTCAATCCTTCTGATCAGAGCCTTTCCTAAATAGTAGTAAGTTGTTTTACAGGTCAGTGTATGTTAATTTAGCAACTGAATGCTTTACTACTGTTGAATAAACCCTATATTGCTAGTTATTTTATTAAAACTATGATTTGCAATCTTTTTGATTCCAATTACAATAATCTTTTTGTCATAATTGTAAAACACATCTTAACATCCATCAGCAATCAATAAAACAAATCATCCAACATAAAATAGAAGAAATCTGGACCTATTCTATTTCTTTTTTTACAAAAGCATCTATTGGGACTGCTCATTGATCAAGAGCCAGTCTACCTTTTGTAGTCTGCCTCTTAGAATGTTTATCATTTCTTTGTCTCTTAACATTCCTAAAATAATTTTTTTTTTATTGTTGATATTGTTTTGTTCTTTATTTTTGTTGTGAGAATCTCTTTGCAATTGTGTAAGTGATATATAAATAGTTATACTAATATTATTGTTGTTACCATCATTACTATTATTAATAATGTTTTCTTTGTTTTCTTTATTTATCGCTGCAGAAAGGATCATGCCAGCCCACATCAAGCACCTGATCAAGAAGTTGTAAATCTTCAGGCAGAAAAGATGAAAACACCTGTTCAAAGTTCCAGTTCCCTGTACATCGAACCATGCCTGTATGGAACTCTGTTCCACATGTCTTCAGTCAGTTCTGGACCCTATGACTCGGACACTAGTTCTACCAAGGCTTATTAGAGGTAAGCAGTGGTAGGAGAGGAGTGGAGTTATCTTTGTATTTGGGCTGCAAGTCGACAAAGGTGATCAAATGCTGATAACGGCCCGATTCATTTGATATTGATTGTCTGCCAATACCGAATCCTGATCCGACTCTTCTATTTCCCAGATAATACAGCTGCACCATGTATACTAGCTCTATTTGTTTTTGCCATTGTAATTCACCATAAGCAATTGTTGACTGTAACGTCTATGCCAACCAACTGTAATTTGTAATGTATTTTACCATACTTAAACGGTCAAGTTCTGGCAACCACAGCAGCCCAAATGTTAACGTAAATGTCAAGTTTTCTTTTGACAGTGTACTTATATCTGTACATTTCTTTTCAGTTTGCTTCAAGAAGTGGCTTCAACAGACAGACATGCAGGCCAGATTGGGAAAGGCTTGACGCTATGGGAAACATTATGGACATGAACAAAGAAAAGCAAAAAACACTGTATTTGTTGCCTTTTTCTTATCATAGGCTACATAGTGTTACTGTTTTTGTTACCATTTAAATATTGAATTCTATGTATTATTTTAAATCAAATGCACCTGTTTTAGATAATATATTTACTTTGATGTATACAGTAGGTTGATTTGCAGGTTGGTTGTTATTTGTATAATTATTGTATTGTTACTGTGTATTTTATTATATTAACTAGCTATTTATTGCTATTTATTACACTATACAATGTCTTTATTTTGGTAGATACCAGAATACATGACACAATGAATCTTTATAATTTATGTTCTCTGGTTTATATAATCATACCAGTATTTAAACAATGTATGCTGGTCACCTGGAATCCTGGTAAGCTTCCAGCATGGTATATTTAATACTATTATTAAACATAAGCTGGTGATCGATGGATGCTGGTGACCAGCCCAGCATACCAGCATACGATACTGGTCTATGCTGTTTTTTTTTTAGCTGGCCAGGATGACTGGTGCACCAGCTAAACCAGCCATACTGGCCAGCTAAAGTGTCCAAAATCCCTCTAAACCGGCCAACCATTCCAGCCCAATATCTACTGGCTGGGTAGCGTTATCCGCGTTACTCTGTGTCAGCTGTGGCAGGTCCCTGCTGCCTCACCTCCTATCAGAACAATGGGAAACCGAGCAAGGCTATTAGCATTTTAAAGGTTGTGGGGGAGGAGTGCGTGGCATAAAAAAAGAAAATGAGGGTGAGTTCAAATCACCTACACTATACCTGATTTCCTTGGGACGGTCCCGCGTAAGGCTACGGCTGCATTTATTTATTTCTGCATGGAAAATGAAGCAGGCGCACCAGCCAAAGGATATTTATGGACATCGAGTCAAACCAAGATTATGCATCTCATAGAAACAAAGACGGCACATCTGAATGGAAAACAAACAAGGCGATAAAACCACACAGCTATTTTGGCACCTGCATTATTACTCTTACTGAAAGCACAGCGAGGGGGAGAGATAGAGGGAGCACCCGCCTGCGCAAGAGCTAAAACTGCGTGCTTCGAGCCAGAAGACAGCTGCTTATTTGCCTTGTTTAAACCTGCATTGTTACATTAAAAACGTGTGCTGATGAAGGTGAAGCGCCCTCTTGGATAAGTCGGAGTGCCTGGGGAGGATGCTGCAGGCTCTCAGCAGGAGCAGGTGCGTTCACCCAAGTGGAGGAGCAGACCACAGAGCAGGAGCGACGCACAGCCACCGGACCACATCACCTGCTCCAAAGGAAAGCCCTTTGTTTTGACGGACTGATGGTTAATGCGCTTTTTCATCTCAAAATAACTCGATTTTCCCCTCCAACTTTGACCTGGTAACCAGGAGATTGTGGGCACATTTAAACTGGTGGACGCACAGCTCATTTGGGATATATTGTTATGAAAAAAGAATAACAGTCAAGGTCCGCTCTGTGGGCTTCTCGTAAGACTGCTTCACTGAAATCAATCTTCTTCTTATCAAGGACAGAATCATCTGCAAGGATGCCCGGGGCACTTTTTTCAACGCAGTCCCTCTACATAGGAATGGAGGTGGTGATTGCACTGGCGTCCGTAATCGGGAATGTGATGGTGGTTTGGGCGGTGAAAATTAATAAATCATTGCGAGATACCACGTTTTGTTTCATCGTCTCCCTGGCTCTGGCAGATATTGCAGTGGGAGCCCTCGTCATCCCTTTGGCCATTACTATCAGCATCGGACTCCAAACTCACTTTTACAGCTGCCTGCTCGTGGCGTGCACGGTGCTGGTCCTGACGCAAAGTTCAATCCTGGCCCTGCTGGCTATTGCAATTGACCGCTATCTCAGGGTCAAGATCCCCACCAGGTAATGAGTTTTAACAACCCACACAAAGGAGGGGCACATGTTATTCTCACTATCTGTTCCACGTGGATATAGCAGGGATGGTGATAAGAATGGTGTTTATGATGATATTGTATAAGAAGTCACAGCCCCAGTGCTTTGCTGCTGGGAATCAATTTTGTCAAGGGTCTTACTTTCACTTCATGGTTTTCATCCATCCTGTCAATCCCTTTATATGCGAATAGATTTGATTCACAATTACTTACATGGCAGCTAATAAGGGCATATCTGATCAATTTACAGCGTGAATTAGTCCCTAAAGATGATGATATGTGTGGAAAAGTAGCACAGCGACAAGATTACATTCAGGGGCGGGGTTGTACAAGGCGAAATGTGCTTTCTGTGTTTCTGGAGGGCAGAAAAAAGGCTGGGTTTGCTGTCAACTATTCAATATCCCTGTTTTGTATTTGATGCCACTGCCAGACTGAAACAAAAGGGATGTGGTGTTGAAAGGCTGTAAAGTTAAACTTTGCATAAGAGGGGAGTTTATTGTTGGAGAATATTGTCTGTGCCTCAAACTTTAATCCGTGTCTAAGACTCCACTAAGTCTTCCAGGTTTATGATAGCATTTATCAAGGAATTTAAGTGTGTTACTAAGTCCTTTAAAACCTTCCAGGCTTGATGGTTTCTGCCACAACTACTTTCACACCAATGCGCCCTTGTGTTATTTAAATCAGATATTCTAGGACTTTCTACTGCCAAACCCATCCTACAACTATTTGTTATCAAGAGGGAGAATATTCCATCCCCCTCCTACACTCTCTGCTGTTAGATTAGTATCTTATCCCTTCTGAGCAGGCTCAGTGTGTGAATAATGATCTCTCTGCCGTTCTTCAGACACAGACCTTAACACATTCATCCCTGATCGACACTAATCCAACACATGATCTGGGCTATAGTGGGTTTTGTTTTGATTCAGACTCCACTTCAGCAAAGGTCAGGTTATTCTAATGCTAATATTGTCACTACAACCACCAAGACAGACTTGTTAATATCAACCATTAGTAATTCCAAAGGGAGCAACAGAAGCTGGCTGCCTCTGGACAAGTATCAGTACCTCTTTGTCATTGTTCAGAGGACAGCAATGATAATATTTGACAGCCTCTTCACCCTTTACCTTCTTCTACCTCCTGATTCCTACCACAAACACTTCAAACAGTAAAAAGCCAAACCTGTGAAGCCTGTTGTAACATCAGCTTGTGTCCACTGTACTAATAAATTAGAGAACTATAATTCAGTTTTGCCCTAAACAAAATAAGCATGAGAAGTAGCAATACTGCAAAGGGCAAAGTCAACTGATAAGGGTTTGCACACACAGTCTTGTTCAAGTGGAAATGTGTGCAACAAAGAAATGTGTGCTACATCCATGTGCTTGTGGTTTGAATGATGATTCCTCCTTTGGAATCACGCCTTTTGTCAGCCCAAGGGAACTGACAGAATGAGAAATTAAGTACAAAAGAAAGCATGAATGTCCTGACAGCGCAGTGAGAGAAAGTGCTGACGTGATACTGTGTTGTTTACAGGTACAAGCAGGTGGTGACAACTCAGCGAGCGGGGGTGGCGGTGGTGATATGCTGGACGGTGGCTTTCATCGTGGGGCTCACGCCTATGTTAGGCTGGAACAACCTGAAGGGCCTTCAGCAGAACGGCTCCATTAGCTCTGACCTCATCATCACCTGCCAGTTTGAAAACGTCATCAGCATGGACTACATGGTCTATTTCAACTTTTTCGGCTGGGTGCTGCCTCCGCTGCTGCTCATGCTGGGCATCTACGCAGAGATCTTCTACGTTATTCACAAGCAACTTAACAATAAGAAGTTCACCACCAGTCACAGCGACCCCAACAAGTACTATGACAAGGAGCTGAAGCTTGCTAAATCGCTGGCTCTGGTTCTTTTTCTCTTCGCTGTTAGCTGGCTCCCCCTCCACATCATCAACTGCATCACACTCTTCTGCCCGGACTGCGAGAAGCCCATAGTCCTCCTCTACATCGCCATCCTGCTCACCCACGGAAACTCTGCTGTCAACCCAATCATCTACGCCTTCCGTATTAAGAAGTTCCGCACGGCCTTCAGGAAAATCTGGCAACAGTACTTCTGCTGCAAAGATACACCAGCCCTGGAGATTCAGCCCAGCGACAGGAAAGAGATGCCCAATCCAGAGCCACAGCAAGCGACTCCACCTCAGAAGGGAATCCTAACATCTGATCCAACACAACAGGAGCAGCAGCAGGAACAGAGGAACGAACCTCCCCAGCAACCTAGAGAACATCCGCCCTTACTGGAGCAGAACACAGTCTAACCTGAGGATCTAATCAGAAGCTGCAAAGTTTTGATCACTGCACAAGTGTTGGTTCTCTCCTCATTTGAATGTAGTCTAATGAGGAGCCTGAAGTGCTACAATGCTTTAGTGGCTGAAGTGACTTGGATATATCCAAGGTACTGGAAGACCATTTATCTTTACTCAGGATGAGTGGATTTACTGACGGTTTGGTCAGAGCACAAAAAAAGCTATTTATTAACTTGCAATAATGGAAGTCTTTTGGACATTGACTGTCTATCTTAGTAACAGACTGAAGATTTTAAGCTTTAACTTTTGTTCATTAGGGTCAAGGAGTGGACATTACAAAATGTGCAATTTAAGTTATTGTGGTTGGTCAGAATTGGTTTACCAAATGTGTTAACCTGCTGTTAAAAGAACGTTTATACGCTCAAAAGAGCAGATTCATCTTACTGTAATATTGTGTGTATGTTGAAACTGGCAGTGGCTGAAGAATATGAATGTAGTTGTAATGTAAATATGGGACTCAGCAGCACAGCTTTGACTGCTCATCTCTTCTTCAGGTTCTTAATCGCACAACAGTGGTAGAGCAAGTGCCACGATGGGAGAGATGTTTGCAGTAAGGAGGTGTGTGTGTGTTGGCTGATAGAAGGGTTTTGTAATCCCTTAACTCTTCTCTACCGGAGCTCTCTGTGGTCCCAGCAGCACTGATCCATTACTAAAGAGATGGACAGGGATAAGAAACAAGCAGTTGGAGGGAATTTAACCTTTCAGAAGCGGCATGGAGGAGACTCGCAGCCGCAGGACGACGACCAATCATGGGGGAAAAGACAAGATGGACTTAAAGCTCTTGTTTATCCAGCTCCATCCCAGCTGGTTGTCGAAGATGTGTTTTCCTTTTTTTCCCGCTACATTGATTGATGATTATCACGACTTACCACTAAGAACAGTGGCTTCCATGGCCTTACTCAGTATTTCAATTAGTAAAGACTTCAGTGGAAAAGACAACTTGAAGATTGTGAGTATCTTAACTACACTGTATGTTTAACATTTTGCATAATGCCAAACTGGGGCATCTGTAGATTAGTCATAAAACAATGTTCAATGCCACTGACATAAAAACATTGTATGAGAATGTAAAGTAATTCTGTTTCGTCTCTTGTAAAGACTCAGAGCTCTGGCCAAGTCAGTTTACTGATGTTTTCCTAAGTGGGTGACAATCTTTTATGGAAGTTTAAGATATTCCCCACTGCAGTTTGGACAAGCGTCTCTGGGGAACGACGAGCAAGCAGTGAACATTTTGAAGTTCAGATGGGCAAACAAAACAGATAACTCAATGCAATCCACGCCATCTGTATCTTGATTTTCCTACAAAGTGTAAAGGCCAGGTGGACTGTACAGAGCACACATTTTAAGGGAAGAAAGGATGAATAAATGTGTAATATAATATGATATTGTGCTTTACAGTTAATGCTTTTTACAATTATGTTTTCATTCAAATAGAATAGTGAAATATACATATGTGTGATATTTTTATGTCATGGCTTAATGAATGATTCCACAGTCCAGCCATGTCTCTATGATATCAGGGTTTCAGTGATTTGGGTGTCGTAGATGAATGTAGAGTTTCATTTACTCAACAAAAAAAACATTGTCAACATTGCCAATTTAGTCAAAAAAGGGTTGCACAGTTCAGAAAAAGGTGCACTACTGCACTCATACAATAATATAAAAGTGGCTACAATCAATGTGTGGGTGTTGTAACAACTTTCAAACTAGCAATGGATGACATCACAATTTGTATTCTGAGAGGGGTCATTACAAATGATGAACCCTCCCGAATCTAAAGTTCCTTTTAGCTCTGCTGGGGTTTATAGCGCCTTTCAGCTCATTGGTTTGTTTTCCAGCCTGCAGCCTAAGTGCTTTTTTGTCCCACTGCTCTCATCTTTGTCTGTGAGAGCAGCCTGCTTTTACTACAAAAGTAACAAGCTGGTAATACAGATAGATATAGATATATTCATATAAGGCCAGACCCAAACAGACCATCTAAAAAGAGTGAATATTAGTGTTCTTCATGTGGCCACAAACACGACTCCAAATGAATGCTGCATATCAGCTAGTTGTCTAAATAAAAAGCTGTATTTGGCATATTATGTTAGAAGAAGGTAAGATATTAGTGGGTTTTTTACAGCTTGTTTCCGCTTTCCAAAAGGAAATAGGTTTAACGTTAGGGGATAATAACCGTTGTCATTTTGTTCCTTCCTCACATAAAGTCGACCCTTCCTGCATGCTATCTCAGAAAACAGTGAATTACAAGCACCCACCCACCCAGTGCATTTATTCAGGTTTAAAAAACAATTTGTTAAAGAATGATAAGTTTGTTACATTCCACCTATTCAGTATTTTTTGACGGGTCACCATTTCTATATGTGTGATTATTCAAGAAAAAACCGACTTATAGCCCCAGATACCTCGACTTGCTGTTGGTACCTTGCTGCAGCTTGTCAGTGCTGTCACAATTCTCATTACGGCTGCAATAATGCAGCGAGTGGCTCTTAGATAACAGTCGAGAGTTGTCGCAGCTCTGACAACCCATTTCTCCTCTCAGTATTGGAGTTCCTTTGATACCTGGCCCCCTAATCCTGAAGACTGCTCACTCTTGCTGTGTCTGCAACGTCTTCATCTCGCACTTTGCCAACTGATTCACTTCGGTCTTCTCTTTCAGACAAAGCTTGTCTAAAATCCATAAAGCAGAAAATACAACACACGTGCAAACTTTATGAGATGAGCAGAAAGCTTATTAATCAATAGTCTGGTTCAATATTAGGACTGTTTTACATACAGCATAACACTAATTCAGCCTTGGAGGCTATTCTTATCATGTGTGCCTGGTTTCCTGGGCAAAGATGCTGAGTTTCAGGGAAGGATTGAATATCAAGTTGAAGGAAATTTCAGATAAGAACTACAAATAAGAGGAGGGAAAAAAATACTGGAGCTTAGTATTTCCGATAGAACAGCAGAGGTGACCTTAACCTGCAGCGACCTACTGTCCTTGTGGGGGCAAACCGCAAATCCTTAGGGAGGAAGAGGAGCTGCTCTTTCCTACTTTCCATATTCACATGCTGCAGTAAAACCAGGTTTAGGGTGTAGCAACCTTGTATTATATGCTGTGACATATTTGCTATACTATTTTCATTAGATTCAATACATTATGTGTTGCACATTTGCAGAGGGAATTCTACATTGTGGAATTGTGGTAAAGGTGTCTTTGGAAATGTTTGCATTCTAAAATTGGAATATTGGTATATCAAGAGGGCAGTGACCTTCAGTGTATATGGTCTTATGGATAAATAATAGAATGGTTTGTTTAATCAATTTTTGATGTCAGTATTTATTTAGCGCCTATTAGCAATAGATCTATCTGACATTGACCTTCCGATCCTCACAAGACTCCCTGTACCTTCAGGGCAGGCTTAGGGGAGAATGCATCGCATGATATTTATGTCCCAGTAAAAGGCTTTTTCATAAAAAATGGAGAAGCGGTTTGATCTACCTGGGCTCTGATCAGCCATCATGAATAAGCAAGTGTTTTGTGCCTCTGGTGCTGCTGCACAATAGGAAACAAGGCGTCTTGTCAGAACATTTTACTTACCGTTACAACATCTGTTTTTGGTAACAGCTGTAAAAAAACTTCAACGCAGAGCTTTGAAGGGTGAAGGAAAGGATAGCACATACATAAAGAAGCAGCACGACAGTGTGATGATGTCAGTAAACCACAGAACAAGATCCACCATCATGCACTTGTATGTTGGTATTCTTCTGCACGTGTGATTTCACAGGAAAACCAATCAGTCATAAAAACAAGGCCACCAATTCTCTTGCTGAGGGAGCATCTGTGTCAGAATCATCTGTGTTATGATACAGAAATGTGGGAACATCAATTCCTAGTTGGCATCGCAGCTAATGAGGGGCTACATCCAAACTGATGTGACTAAAAATGGGAAGATGTTAAAGAAAAATGTGTGGATGCAAATTTGCAGCAGATGGAAAACTTTCATGAAGTAACAACTGAACACAGCATATTAAGATGTAATTATGTTTAATATAAACAACTGCTATATTACACAGGTAGAGAATATGTTATGATCTTTAGCTGTGTATTTAACCTAAAGGTGCTGAGACAGAAAAAAGTGTGTGATCAATTTTCTTTTACAGTCCTTCAGAATCGGTTTCATCCCACTCACTGAACCTCTGACAAACAGCTATAATAAATGCTCACAGCATCTGTAAAAAACCCTTCAATAAAACAGCATTAGGGTTCCACAAATAAAACAAACTGATTTCCCTCAACAATTAATTATTCACCAAACAGTCTTACAAAATTAGCACAACATCAATTTTTGATCCTTTTTGTCTATAAAATATCTGCCTCAGGAGGTGGTTTGAGAACCAGCCTTGAAGCAAGGTTTTGAAATGTAGGGGGTTCAAATTGACTCCATTGTGAACCTACACTAAAAAGAGGAAGCAAAAAATACAAGGATTGAAAAATAAGATGTTATGGAGCAGATCACGCAACAATGTGTTTATGCTTTGTATAGTAGCATGATTCCCCTCTATTGGTTTAAGGTATTCCCTATACACTAATGGCTGTGAAAGGTTGATGATTCATCTTTCCCTTCTCTGTTTCTAAAATGTTTTGTTTGTCATTGACAGTCCATATGCCAGACTGCCACCTGCTGGTGAAGAGTGTTTTGGTTTGTTTGATTAAAACTGAGCAGTCGCAGTGCTCACAGTAGAGTTCTAAGGTCACATCTGGTTCCTTCATTAAGCTTCTCCCACAGGTCCTGATGGCCCCTTTCAGTGTCATAGACCTTTATTTAAAATCTTCTGATGGCAGCTTCAAAGACGTGCTAAACTGGTTAATATACTCAAGACACTAGAGTTAGCCCATTGAGCGTGGATAGGAGAGCCAAAACAAACCCCTCATTGCATCCTCTCTGCACATTAGATGCAATACACAATTCAGGCACATTGTGCTCAGAAATAATATCAACAAGATCCGACATTTCATAATTTTCCTCAATATTAAAATAATGTGCAGTTTTAATCAAAACAGTATGATCAGTGTTCAGTAGAAAAACATGCTTTATTATTAAGTTGGACTTATACAACCTTGTAATTACTTGCACTTCAAAAGAATGCACAGTAGAACTTGCAAGATAGTTTATCTTCTATTTCTATCACATGCAACCTTGTTTTTATCATTCTAGATTTGTAAGCATGAAATTGTTGTTTGAAGTTGTTCATTATCTCACAGAAAATCTATATTTCAAACGTTCCGTCATACTAATAAGATCACAATTTTGCCAACATTATGTTTCTCTAAACTTGCCTTGCCTTTCTGTAATGAACTTAAAAATAATGATCTACAAGATAAGTACACTTATTATTGTGCATTCCTTAGAGGTTTTAATCAGGTTATGTAAGGTAAAAATGCTATGCTTGAGATAACATGTTACCAGGTAAATAGCAGTCCACTTTAGGGACAGGCACAGTCATCAGCAAAAACATAACCACAAACTGTAATGTCAGGGTTCAAGTTGTCTTGCTGCATTTCAGGAAAATGACACAACAATCTGGGTTTTTGTCCTGGAGGGAAATGTTGCATTTATCTGAGGTCACGCAAGATTAAACTCTGGCAAACCCACATATGGTCACAGAGAGCTCAAACCCAGCAAACACACATCAAAAGGTGTGAATACTGCCTGCCTCAACAAGTCTGAAGCAAAGTGTGCAGATTCAGCTAAAGTCCTGAGCCTGACTCACTTCCCGCCTGCTATCAGCTGCTTGTCCTTTATCAACAAGGGAATTTCCAGTGCTTTTTCCCCTTTTTTTCACACAGTGGTTTTAAAAACCTGTGGAATAGACTTCACCATATATGAATCTTACAAAGTGCCCATCTACAACAGCACTTTTTTGTTTTGTTTCACAGGCCCTCAGTTCGTTGTGGTAGATTTGAAAACAACTCTTAAAAAAGTTATGGAGGCGTTGCTCCATGTGCAGTTAAACCAGCAATAATAATATTTGATGCAATCAGAGCTCCCATCGTGGTCATTGCTGTCACTCCCTGTGGCTGTGCTTTGGATGGCAGGAGATGGAACGCTCATAAAGGCCACTGCTTATGACTGGCAGTAATGAGCTTTTAATGGTGGTGGTGAAAGATGGCTGTTCATAAAGTCAACACAACTCCGCCTGCCTGGACTTGCTCTACAGTGGCAGTCCACGCCTCGCCAGATGCAGTCTACCCTCATGCATGGCTCACAGC